GTGTGTGTGTGTGTGTGTGTGTGTGTGTGTGTGTGTGTGTGTGTGTGTGTGTGTGTGTGTGTGTGCGTGTTTAGGGAAGGGGCAGGCCTGCTTGAGTTGTTATTGTACATTGAGCAGCACTTCTGAGTACTTAAACAATCAAGACCTTAATATAGACATCAAATACTGAGAGAGCAACAGTGATCTAATCAAACGCCAAATGGCTCACATTAAACTGCAATACAAAAGAAGCTAACAAGATAAACAGATAAAGACAGGCTTATGGGGAGGGAATTGTGTACAAAGATGGAGAGAAAGTAGTATACCTGTAGGTAAATAATAAGATAGAGATAGATCGGTGTGAGCCTGTCATCTGTGGGAATGTCCTCATGCATGCATTTTATTTGATATACACCATTCAAAAGATTTTTTTTTAAAGAAATGAATAATTTTATTCAGCAAGGACACATTAAATTACAATAAGGACATGTATCATGTTAAAAAAGTTTCAAAGATACTGAAAAAAAATGTATCATGGTGTCCACAAAAATATGAAGCAGCACAACTGTTTTCAACATTGATAATAATCAGAAATGTTTCTTGAGCAGCAAATCAGCATATTAGAATGATTTCTGAAGGATCATGTGACACTGAAGACTGGAGTAATGATGCTGAAAATTCAGCTTTGATCACAGGAATAAACTACATTTTACAATATATTCACATAGAAAAGTTATTTTACATTGTAATAATATTTCACAATTTTTGTGTTTTTACTGTCTTTTTAAACAAATAAATGTAGCTTGGATGAGCAGAAGAGACGACTTTCAAAAACGTTAAAAAAATTGAATGGTAGTGTACACAGAGAACAGAGAGAGCTACCAGATGAAGAAAAATGTCCAACAGACCTTCAGTCAAGCTCATTGAAGCTTATGGTACAGAAATATTAACTTTGTAAATTTATTTTTTTAATAATACTCTGCTATTTTTATCCTTGTTTTATAATGGAGAGCAACCACAGATCAGGGCAGAGCTAACAGCACACAAGGATAACACATCCTCAGATCATACATACACCTGCATTAAAACCTGTGATGTTTCAGTGTGAGAAACAGGAGACCATTGAATAAGACATGCGTTCCTTCTCAACACTGCTGTATGACATGACCCACACAGTAGATAGAGACGAGAGAGAAGACTTCACTGTATAGTGTGACAGAGAGACACTATTAAATGCTATTAAAATTAATATTTTATTCCTCAGATGTTGCTGTTTCATGTTGCTATAGGTCTGAGTTATGTTATATTCACACCTAAAACACATTGGTCGGAAGTACCGCTCCTCATGTATATTAACTATCACATATGGATGAGAAAGAAACATTGTGGATGCAGAGAAACATTAATATAATATGAAAAATCCATCAGTGCCATCTGGAGAGATGCCATGCAAGTCGAGAAAATAGAAGTTGTGTGTTTTATCTAGTGCAAACAAACTGACAGAACTTGTCACACACTCTTCTGATTAGCTGTGATTGTGTTGCATTGTGCAGCATTTTAGCCTTCAAACTTCCAGATTGCTTGTTGTGAATCTTATTGTGTCAGGTTAGCACACAATGTTAAGATACAGCATGAAACACAGAAAGTGCATAGGGCTTGTGCCTGTTAATTTGAAATGCATTGATGCAGCCATGGCCAGCGATCAATCCAATCCTCATCACAACACGTCAACAAACACACATACAAATGTACAAAATCAAATAAAAATGCAGCGTGTTGTTAGACAGTGTAAGCTGACAAACAGTCACCTGCAATATGGCAGATGTGTAGTGATTTATGATTATTCATAAGCTGTTCTTCATAATCCATCTGTTAGTGACAGAACATCAGCCTCTGGTTGCTCTTCAATTCATATACGTCTAGAAAAATGTCGCATTGCCCTTAGAATGAACCGTACATGTCACTGTCCAATGAGATTTGTTTCGCCTCTTTAAGAGCATTCTCATCTCACGTTCAAAAGATTGGGCTCAATAAGACCTTTTAAAAGAAATTAATACTTTTATTCAGAAAGGATGCATTAAATTGATATAAAAGTGACAATAAAAGCACTTATAATTTTATTAAAAAGATTTATGTTTCAAATCAATTCTTTTGAACTTTCGGTAACACTTTAGAATAGGGAACACTTATTCACTATTAGCTCCCTAATTTCCCTCAATAAATTCCTAATTTGCTGCTTATTAATAGTTAGTAAGTTGTTTAGTTTGGGTATTGGGTAGGATTATGGATGTAGAATAAGGTCATGTAGATTAGAATAAGGCATTAATATGTGCTTAATTACTACTAATAAATGGCTAATATTCTAGTAATATACATGCTAATAAACTAGTTAAGAGACCCTAAAATAAAGTGTTACCGAACTTTCTATTCATCAAAGAATCCTGAAAAAAAAAATAAACAAAACATGAGGTAGTTTTCAACATTGATAATAATCAGAATTGTATCTTGAGCAGCAAATCAGCATATTAGAATGATTTCTGAAGATCATGTGACACTGAAGACTGGAGTAATGATGCTGAAAATTCAGCTTTGATCACAGCAATAAATTACAGTTTACAATATATATATATATATATATATATATATATATATATATATATATATATATATAGAAAGAGACAGTTAAAGTGAAGGGGCTGCTGAAAATTCCGCTTTGCCATCACAGGTATAAAATACATTATAAAATATATATATATATATATATATATATATATATATATATATATATATATATATAAAGAAACAGTTATTTTGAATGGTAATAATATTTTACAATATTACATTCAAATAAATGAAGTCTTGGCAAGCATAAGATTCATATCGACCCCAAAAAAATCTTATCAACCCCAAACTCTTGAATGGTATTTTATGTTTCATATAGTTGATATGATTTGTTCATTATAACTGAAGAACTGCTGGCGGTTCTACTAGAAACGCAGCGTCTCAGAGCTGCAGTAATGTGATGCAAGGAGACTAGAGAGCAGACGTCTAAACCGCACCCTCTGGCCTGTTTTCTCATCACTATGGTAACAGCAGGGCTGGATTAGGCAGGTCTCTAAAGCGCCGGAGCAATTCCAGCTGCCGTGATCGTGCAGGAAACACTGGGCAGGTCAAAGTAGAGATTTGCAGAGTTGTGGAGCGTCTGTGAGGTTTTGCAGCATCAGTTCCTGCTGTGCCAGAGTCGTCTTATTATGAATGATTCATTGGTGCACATTATTCCATGGCTTTGTAAACTTTCATCAAAATGAAATTAAACTTGCTCCACCTCTGAAATGACTTTCATTTTTAGCTGATGATGTCTTAAACCCCTTCCCTCTAGTCACCTGTCATATGCGACCAGTCATAAGGGTCAATTTTTTTAAATTGAGATTTATACATCATCTGAAAGCTGAATAAATAAGCTATGGTATGTTAGGATAAGACAATATTTGGCCGAGATACAACTATTTGAAAATCTAGAATCTGAGGGTGCAAAAAAAATCTAAATACTGAGAAAATCGCCTTTAAAGTTGTCCAAATGAAGTTCTTAGCAATGCATATTACTAATCAAAAATTACGTTTTGATATATTTACGGTAAGAAATGTACAAAATATATTCATGGAACATGATCTTTACTTAATATCCCAATGATTTTTGGCATAAAAGAAAAAGGTATCATTTTGACCCATACAGTGATTTTTTGGATATTGCTACAAATATACCCCAGCGACTTAACACTGCTTTTGTGGTCCAGGGTCACATATAAAGTTATAGTCCATTCCCTCGTTAAATTATGCGATTTCCCTTCATCTTTTCTCATTAAATATCCTGTTTCACTCTGAAATAAATTATGTTACAGTAAAATAGGTTTTCATGAGTGTCGTTTGGCTCAACCAATGGCATAAGATTGGGGGCGGGACTAAATAATGGGCAGATGAGAAAGTATTTAGGAAACATGTTGGAAAACAGTCATTTTTGCAGAAGATTTGAAGGGTTTGATGTAAAAGGGGAATTATTACCGTTTTCTCATGTGATATTTAGTATTTACACTAGTCATTTCAAAGTTAAAATGCGTCTATTGTCTTCCTTTTTTCTGTCACTGGTGTTGGTCTAGCTTTCTAACAAACGTTCTCATGTTTTGTCTTTCTGTTCTGCAGTCTGTTGACCCTGGCCAGCAGTTCACCTGGGAAAACTCCAACCTAGAGGTCAACAAGCCCAAGAACCGCTATGCAAACGTCATCGCTTACGATCACTCCAGAGTCGTGCTGATCCCCATTGATGGTGAGTCCAAAAACACACCTATATATATTAGCGTTCAAAAGTCAGCAAGCTTTTTTGACTCTCTCTGCTCATCCAGGCTACATTTATTTGATCAAAAATACAGTAAAAACAGTAATATTGTGAAATATTATTGCAATTCAAAATAATGTTTTTCTATGTGAATAGGTGCTAAAATATTATTTATTTCTGAAGCAAAGCTGAATTTTCAGCATCATTACTCCAGTCTTCAGTGTCTCATGATGCTTCAGAAATCATTCTAATATGCTGATTTGCTGCTCAAGAAACATTTATCATCAATGTTAAAAACAGTTGTGCTCCTTCATATTTTTGTGATACAAATGTGATACATTTTTAAGAATTTTTTAACAAAGTTCAAATGAGCAGCATTTATATGAAACAGAAATATTTTGTAACATTATAAATGTCTTTGCTGTCACTTTTCATCAACATAATGCATAAAAGTATTAATAATAATAATAAAAAAAAACATCTTACTGACCCCAAACTTTTGAACAGTAGTGTTTATAGCTTCTTGACATCTCAGCTACGATGAGTTCTGCACAGAATCTGCATCTACTGAATTCTGTGAAAGGCCATCAAGTCCAAATTACCCAAAAATATTTTGGGTAATTTCAAAGTACTCTCAATGCTATTTTAATATATTTTTAAATATAACTAGAAATAATAAATAATAAAAGTCTGCAGATTTCACGTGTGCTTAGCAAGGCCATCAGTACAATGAGCGCTCAGTTCTCAGCCTTTCATTGTGTGTTAACACTGCACTGCTGAACCGCAGGTGTACCGGGGAGCGACTACATCAATGGAAACTACATTGACGGCTACCGCAAGCAGAACGCTTACATGGCCACTCAGGGTCCTCTGCCCGAGACGTTCAGTGACTTCTGGAGGATGGTGTGGGAGCAAAGGGCCAGTACTATCGTCATGATGACCAGACTGGAGGAGAAGAGCAGGGTGAGATTTTACTCCTCATCTCGTGTTGTCTGGCTCCTGCCCCAGAGTGAGACAAATTTTTTTAGTGATGACGAGATGCAGATGGCATGGAAATGATCTCTCACTCTTTATATGGAATTAAATAAACATTCTAGAGGAATTGTTTCAAAATAGGAACTTATAAAGACTATTAATCACAATAAAGACTCTCCCTACACATTGCACTTCAACCATTACTTCAAACAGCAGCTATTATAATGTTTTTTTAGGGGGTTGTTCAGCCCAAAATTTAAATTGTCATAATTTATTCACGCTAATGTCGTTCCAAACCTGTACAAATATTTAAAAACAGAAGAATAAGAGTCATACAGGTTTGGAATGACATGAGGCTGAAAAAATTACAGTTTTAATTTTAAGGTTTCTTTTGCCTTTAGGATGTCAGATAATATCCCAAACACCTCGTGGACACATGCAAACACGTGTCCTGTCTGTGAATTACAGAGGAAAGGAAGTGACCACTCCTCATAAGAGTGTCGAACAGGAAGTGATGTGTGTGCATGTGTGTTTGTGAGAGAGGGAGGTGTCACATGTTCCCTCACCTGCCGTGTGACCAGATGGTCATTCTGTTTTTCCTCCACATGGTCAGTCTCAATATACATGAATGTGATTCAGTGCTAGCTTTCTAATGGAATTATGTACCTCACGATTCACAATTATATTATAATTTGCTGTATATAGATCTATACTATACTATATTATAGGGCTGTGCAATTAATCGCATGCGATTGTCATATTGTCCGATACCTATCTATCTATCTATCTATCTATCTATCTATCTATCTATCTATCTATCTATCTATCTATCTATCTATCTATCTATCTATATATATATCTGTCTGTCTGTCTGTCTGTCTGTCTATCTATATGTATATACTGTACATATAGAGAGAGAGAGTTTACTTACTAACATTTACTTTAACTGTTTTAACACATTAAAACATTGCCTAAAAAAGAATATACTGATCGAATTGGACAAGCCTTGATATTATCGGCTTTAAAGTCAAACTAATCAAATTCTGTGGAGAAAATGTATTTATACATTCAAAAACCTGCTGTTGCTCTCTATTGTCACAAATATATTGTGCATCGTAAAAAGAAAAAAGAAACATATTCATTCCACAATAGGAAATGCCTTTTACAAATTACATTTTTAACCAAAAAAAATTTTGAATAATTTTATTAATGTTAAAGATGCAAAGTTTTTTAAGGGTTTGGGCTAGTCAGCCGTATTTATTAATTAGCTTGAATAAGTGCACAGATTGTACCTGTTCTTTGTTGATGAAGGACAGCAGGGTTTATGGAAGCCCAGATGGGTCACGCTAATGCATCTCAACCCCAGACCTAGCGGCGTTACTCACACAGCCCTCTGTGCTCGGTGTGTGTTCGCGGTATGTGACCCGTGTGTGTAATCAGAGCCGGAGGTTCAGCCACAGTTCTGGCCGGTCTGTGGTGCGTGATGCCCCCATCTGCTTCAGCTTCAGCTGGCCTCCTCTCACCCGTCTCCTGTGCTCTTATGGTGCCTGATGTGTGATGTTTGTGTGTCTGTGATTGCAGGTGAAGTGTGATCAGTACTGGCCGAGCCGTGGAACAGAGACATACGGCATGATTCAGGTTTCCATGCTGGACACGGTGGAGTTAGCCACCTACAGCGTCAGGACCTTCGCTCTCTATAAGGTCTGTGTGTGTGTTTATAGATGACGTAACTGACATTTATTTAGTTTTTTTCATCACTTTTTGATTTTACCTGCAGTGACAAATTATTTGTTTTAAATTAAATTCTGTTTAAAAAATGACTAAAACTTTTAATAGTATTAATAGTATAATTCTATATTATAATCAATTATAATATATTGTAAATAATTGTAGATATTATAAACATATTCTCTTATTTAAAAACAGCAAGAAAAACCCCTTTTCCAACATATATCTCCTTGAATGTGTTGTAACAGAATGGGTCCAGTGAGAAACGGGAAGTTCGGCAGTTCCAGTTCATGGCCTGGCCGGATCACGGTGTTCCCGAATACCCCACACCAATTTTAGCCTTTCTACGCAGGGTCAAGGCCTGCAACCCACCTGACGCCGGACCCATGGTGGTGCACTGCAGGTGGAGCATGATCTCCACTCACTTATCTATTAACATGAACATGTGTCTGTGAATTCACTCTAAATCTACCACTTCCCTTGTGTTTCCCATGGCAGCGCTGGTGTGGGTCGGACAGGCTGTTTTATCGTAATCGAGGCCATGCTGGAGCGGATGAAGCACGAGAAGTCGGTGGATATATACGGTCACGTGACCTGCATGCGCTCTCAGAGGAACTACATGGTGCAGACGGAAGATCAGTATATCTTCATCCACGAGGCCCTGCTGGAGGCTGCCACCTGCGGGAACACAGAGGTCCCGGCGCGGAGCCTGTACACACACATCCAGAAACTCACGCAGGTGTCGCCCGGAGACACCGTCACTGCCATGGAACTGGAGTTTAAGGTCAGAAAACACACACAGACACACACATCAACCTTAACCTGGCACGACACAACAGGGTTCCTGTGTCAGTTTTTCTCTCCTCAAAATGCAGCGTGAAGGCACTAAATCACAGTCAATCAGAACCTCTTTGATGTTTAGTACACAGCTGACGATGCAATGCCTTGTTGCTTGTTTAAACCCCTGATTAACATGCAGAAGATGCCGTTTATTGCTTAGCGGTTTATCTTGCTTGTTTTTTGGAGTTGGGAACAGGGTTATTATCGTTAGCTATAACTGTTTTGTTAATTGAAATACAGCAGGAATAAATGAAAATATACTGTAGATATTACATGATAACTTTAAATTATAAATGTTTCATAAATGTTAATTATTATAACTGAAATACGTTTAAGCTAAAGCACTAAAATGACTAGATATTAGAATCAGCATTGGACATTAATTAATTAAATATAATGAATGCTTCAAGTTAAGTAATCATGTAATAATGATGATAATTAACTGGAAATTTATAAAAACTGAAACTGAACCGAAAATCTGAAAAATAAATAAATGCACATAACAGAATTACTAAAAATTAAACTAAAATCGAAAATATAAAAATAAAAGGTAACACTTACAATAAGGTCTCATTTGTTAACATGAACTAACTATGAACAATATATATTTTTACAGCACTTATTAACCTTTGTTAGTGTTAGTTTAAAAAGTGTTAATGTTAACATGTACAACTTTTGATTTTAATAATATATTAGTAAATGTTGAATTTAACATTAACTAAGGTTAATAAATGCTATATAAGTATTGTTCTTGTTAACTAATATAGTTGACTAATGTAAACAAATGAAATATTATTGTAAAGTATTACCATAAAAAGCTAATTCGAATATTAATAAACATTAACACTATAATAGTCAATAAATAATGCTAAAACAACACTGATTTGGAATGAAGGACAAGTGTTTATTCAAAAACATTCCTGATTTTGTTAACAGTGTATCTACATTCACGGGATTGTCATCAAAAGATACAACAGAACTGGAATAATTATGTGGAATCTGAACCTGAATTGGTATATTCCTTATGATTCTCATCTATAATGGTTAACCTTGAGTTCATTTCTTAAGTAATATTACACTGGAAGAGCAACAAGAAAAACTGTAGACAGAGAAAAGACATGCACATTGAAATGTTTTGCAGAAACATTCTTACCAAAGCAAAGGTGCATATTTGAACTGCTTAAAGAGTATGCTGAGAGCTGATGGAGACGCTGACAGACAGTATCTGTGACTGCGGTGAGAGTTATAGCTGCTGCATGCATGAAAACACTCCTTTAACATACAACAGCTGTCCTCAGAGACGCTTCACAGCCCGAATGATGAGCCTCAGAGCTGCTTTACGCACAGGATCATTATAGATCCGCCGAGGATGTAATCAGGTTTTAATGCTTGATGTTGTTTCACCAGCGAGTCATGTGATTCTGAAGGGCCAGTGCAGTCAGAGCTGTGTGTGGAAACACGTTTGTGTTTCCCTGCACAACATGAATGATTTTAATGGGCTGTTTTTCCCATGATGCACTTTGGTGACATGCTGAGATTCAAAGAGCAAGTATCGTTTGAAGTTTGAGAACAAAGCCACTCAAAACACCTCATTCTCCACCAAAGAAGCATCTCAATTGTTGACAATGGAAAAAAACGCTTTTGAGTTTCAGTGTGGTAATCAACATTCTGCCATGAATACTGAACTTGAGCTTAACTTTTTAACTCAGATTGTTCCTTATATTTCACTAATTAATGACCAATGCTGAATGTAACATATAGAATGGATTATTATAGAGTATAATGATGCCAAATAAGATTTGACATTTACAAGAAACATATTTTTTGGAATATTTATTCAAAACTCACAAAAATAAATAGAAAATGACAGTATGCCAAGGTCTGAAAGGCTAAAATGTCATCTCATTAATTGTCCTCAGCCAGAAGCTTCTTCTGCTCACCAAGGCTGCATTTATTTGATCAAAAATACAGGAAAATCTGTAATATTCTGAAACATTATTACAATTTAAAATAAATGTTTTCTATTGTAATATATTTTAAGATGTAATTTATTTCTGTGATCAAAGCTGAATTTTCTGCATCATTACTCTAGTCTAGAAACACAAATAATTTATATGATTATAAATGTCTTTACTGTCACTTTTGACCAATTTAATGCATCCTTTCTTTTTTCAAACCTTTGATTAGTGGTGTGTATGAGTCTATTTCACAATTTCTGAGCAATATGCATGTGTTCTGTGTCTTTTCTCACTGCAGAAACTGGCCAACTCCAAAGCACACACCTCTAGATTCATCAGTGCTAGTCTGCCTTGCAACAAATTCAAGAACCGACTGGTCAACATCATGCCCTTTGAGTCCAGCCGTGTGTGTCTGCAGCCAATCAGAGGGGTGGAGGGGTCCGACTACATTAACGCCAGCTTCATCGATGGATACAGGTATGTGAATCAGGGTTTGCGATTGCAATTCAGTAAATTCCACTTCCTGTCATTTCAATTCAACATCCTGTGGTGCGGATAACTTAATTCAAACTCAAACTCATGAATTGAAAGGGAGCCAGATCTTAAATTCAGAATTTTGCCTGAAGTCATGAACAGAGATCTGAGAGCCAATTGAGACCAACTGTGAATCAGACTCTGGAGAAATCAGATGAAAGATGGGTGTTCTTCTGAAGAGGTGCTGCTGCCACGAACGCCAGCGAGTCTCTCCGTCACTGTCCCCCGTCTCTCTGACTCCTGCTGGATGTGACAGCTCAGAGTCATGGCCCGTCTCGGAAGTCTGCGTCTGCGTGTCTACTGCCTTAGTGCTGCTAGTTGTCAGGACAAATTGTTCTTATTGGCAGGACTGTCCATAACTGCAGCGGTATCAGCACTGGGGAATCTGCGCGGCCCTGCGCCCACGAGCTGACAGGTGATGCACACAGTTCAGCGCACAAATAAAAGGATTACCCGTCACGAGGAGTCCGGTCTCCATGAAGCTCTCAATCTATCCCACACGCACACACATATACAGATAGACATTCAGAGTGCAATGGGTTTGTGTCAAGCATATCACTGAGACTCAGAGTTAAGGGGTAATTCCACCAACAGTGTAACACTCATTATATAAGCATGACTAATCAGAATCGAGTACTTTAGAGCATGAAATAATAGTATACATGCTAAACACATGCTTATCTTTTTACAGTCTGTTTGATGGATTGTGCATTGAAAATACTTTATTGAAGAGTTTCGTATGAATGAAAAACTGTGGAAAATGGATATTAAAACTGCATTACCTAAGACAGCCTCTATCCCATCTGCTGTGAATATAGTCTCTGAAATCCATTGATTCAGTGCAACTTTCTGCCACAAGGAACGTTTACTGCAAATATCAGTGCTTCAAATGAATAGTCCTTTACTAACATCCTGAATCAAGCACTTCCTTTGCTGCTGCTGAGGGGTCATGTGAGGTGGAGGGGCGGAGCTGTGTCAAGAATCTAAGCTCATTGTTGTCCCTTAATCAAATTAACAGCCAATCAAAGAGCTCCCACTGCATCTGCCGGCGTACTGAAGTGTAAACAGCGTAATTGGCAGTAATCGTGTTTGTAATGAAGGACAGAGGGAGAAGGGCTTTCACATGCTTTTAGCTTGATGAGCTTTCAGTGTGTGTGTGTGTGTGTGTGTGTGTGTGTGTGTGTGAAGCAAATGAGGCTGTATCACAGGTGTGTAGATCAGGACTCCGTCTTTCTCTAGCTCAGTCCTGCCGAGGCTTCCCTTCAGCATATGTTGGATGAATGCGGTCTTCTCCCAGTATGCCCTGCGTGCAGATGTGTTCACTCATACAGTGATTCTCAGTGATCAAACGAGTTAGTGAGAGTCACTGATCATTGACAATGTGGGTGTACAGCAGAACAGCCACTCAGAGACCTGCGCCGATAAAATCACTGTAAGAGAATAATGAGGCTGCTAAAGTCAGATTAGACATTTCCTCCACTTGTTCAACCACCTCAGAGATGCATTTATCTAAAAAAAAAAAAAACCTTCAGCAGAGACCTGGGGATCTCACAGCAGGACTTCAGCACAAGGGACAGCGCTCGCGTCCCCACGCTGCCAAACAGTGAGAGCTCTGCTGCCTTCACTACACAATCATGTCTCTCGGTTTCATCTTCCACAACCAGTGTTTTTCTCACCTGTCTCACTGTCTCTCCCTCGTTCTCTGTCCAGTGTTTCCTCTCTCTCTCTCTCTCTCTCTCTCTCTTTCTCTAACTGCATATTTATCTCCTTGTCTGTCTTAATGCATTTATGATCGCAGTGATGGAGCTGCAGTGCCTCCTGCTGTTCGGTTAGAGGAAGCACTCCTGGAGAGAGCTGTTCATTAGTATTCTGTGTTGATTCTTGTGTTTTTAAACTGTATTTTCATGTGTTGTTCCTGCAGGCAGCAGAAGGCGTATGTCGCCACACAAGGTCCTCTCTCTGAAACCACGGAGGACTTCTGGAGGATGCTTTGGGAGCACAACTCCACCATCGTGGTGATGCTGACGAAGCTCAGAGAGATGGGACGGGTGAGTCAACGCCACTGTCATTGTGACAGATTATCACATTCCTGCACACATCAAAGTGAACAAAGTAAATGTGAATGGCCCTTTGCAACCCATTTTACTTCTGTAATGTGAGTGAAAGAAGATATTCAAAAAGGCTAAATGTAGGGCAGCTCTTGATTGCATCCATTGGGAATTGATTGGATTGTGAAGCGTTGCTCATTTTTTATGTCCTGTCGACTTTAAGGCAGGGTTATGTTTGTTAACTAAAACTAAAACCATAAAAAAAACCATTTTCATTACTTGAAATAAAATGAAATGGAAAAACTTATTTTATTTCAGCTAGCTGCCAAGGCAACATTTCTATTTCATTTTAATGTAGTTTCTAAATGAAAAAGTCCAAAACTAAAACTTAATAAAAACGAAATAGACAAAATTCCATATAAATGTTCAAAATATGAACAAAATTTATAATAGTGTTAAAATAAAATGCTTTAAGGCAGCGCAGCTCAGAACAACTCAGTTTATTAAGGGAGTGTCGCACAGATTCAGCTGTTTTCATCTTTGATTCCATGTCACACACTGCAACACTTTTGCATTTTAGCAGCGTGACGTTTATATAAATATGAAGAGGAGAAATGCACAAAGAAACACTTGTAATAATAGACTGAATTATAATTCAGCTCATGAAGTAACTGTTTTGTGTGTTAGTCTATTCAAGGTCGAGGAAAATATGTGTTCATGTACAGCTTTAATGTGCAAAAGATTTACATGAATCTGCTTTCTTATTTTATGAATCATTTAGCAGTCCCATCAGGATTTCACAAGACTTTTTTTCTCATTTTTGCAAGTCACTGAATTTGCTGCAGCTTTTCTTCAAAAATTTTGATATTTGCAGGATATTTTCCCTTGTTTTGCATTAAAAACCTACCATTATAATCATTAAGTAATTAGTATTAGTGACCATAAGAGTACTGTTACTGATGATTTAGTGCATAATTACTGAAATCAGTTGTGGTTCAGCAGTTGAACACATATTGATCAGTTTGTTTGGGCTCAGATTTATGCATTTTGATTAATTAACATTGCTTCTCTCAGGACAAATTGTAAAAAATATGCAATAATATAAGCTGCTGCAAATGTTTGCAATTGCGAGATCGCAAAATTCTGGAGGGACTGATTTGAGTGTAGCAGATAATAATAACAAAATAAACATGCAATGTGGATGTTGGTTTGCTGAGAAAAATGTCTGAATACTCTTGTGCAATTAATTAAAAAAAACTCAAATGACAAATGAAATGTTAATGATGCTGAAAATCAGCTGGTTGTATGCTGGCCTCAGGCTGTCATTCTGTGCATTACACCACAGAGACAAAAGGCAAAAAAAAGAAACAAAAAATAAAGTTGAGGTTTGGACAAATTAACTGAGCTGCTCTTATAATCGTGTGTTTGGCTCCACAGGAGAAGTGTCATCAGTACTGGCCTGCAGAGAGATCCGCACGCTATCAGTACTTCGTCGTGGACCCCATGGCTGAATACAACATGCCGCAGTACATCCTACGGGAGTTTAAAGTCACAGATGCCAGGGTGAGTCGATCAGACCGTAAGACTTCAGCTGTGCTGTGTCTTTAAATCACACTCTCATTCTCTCTCAGGATGGCCAGTCTAGGACGATCCGCCAGTTTCAGTTCACCGATTGGCCAGAACAAGGAGTGCCAAAGACAGGAGAGGGCTTTATTGATTTCATTGGCCAAGTCCACAAAACCAAGGAGCAGTTTGGACAGGACGGACCAATTACTGTTCACTGCAGGTGAGAAGCAGAATGAACAAATGCAGCAGAGCATGTAGTGTGTGTTTGTAGTAGCACTGGCTGATATATTGATTATTCAGAATGTTGTAAATCTATATGAAATTAAAATGTCTCGGTCTTAGATTGTATTGACTGTATCGTAGAGCTGACTTTGTATCTGTACATTACAGTTTAAAAGTTTGGGGTCAGATTTTTTTTTTCAAAAGAAATTAATACTTTTATTCAGCAAGGATGCATTAAATTGATCAAAAATGACAGTAAAGACAGATTATTACAAACAGACATATTGTTACAAACGATTTCTATTATAAATGCATGATGTTCTTTTGAATTTTCTATTGATCAAAGAATGCAATTAAATGTAAAAATAATAATAATAATGAAACTGATCAAGGTTTCCACAGAAATCAGCCCAACTGTTTTCAACATAAGAAATATAACAATAATTGTATCTTGAGCAGCAAATCAGCATATTAGAATGATTTCTGAAAGATCATGTGACACTGAAGACTGGAGTAATGATGCTGAAAATACAGCTGCCCATCACAGGAATAAATTACAGTTTACTATATATTCAAATAGAAAACAGCTATTTTAATTTGTAAAAAATATTTTACAATATTACATTTTTACTATATTTTTGATTGATGAATAAATGCTGTTTTGGTGAACAGAAGACTGAATTTAACCCCCAAATGTTAGCTGTTGTGTATGTGTGCTGAACTGCTGTCTGTCTCTCTCTGTCTCAGTGCTGGTGTGGGCAGAACAGGGGTCTTCATCACTTTAAGTATTGTTCTGGAGCGGATGAGGTATGAAGGAGTGGTGGACATGTTCCAGACCATAAAAACGCTCCGCACGCAGAGACCTGCCATGGTACAGACCGAGGTAAACCTGACACCCTCACTTCCTCTTGAGTAAATAGAAAAGTTCACCTGTTGTCATTTTCTGCAAATCAGACAGACTTTCATTTTTAGGCAACACACGTGTTTTAGTCTGTGTTTTAACGGTGTGCGTCCCATGTGTGCAGGACCAGTACCAGCTGTGCTACAGAGCAGCTCTGGAGTACCTAGGCAGCTTCGATCACTATGCAACGTAACCACTCCCAGAATGCCTCAGAACGGAGAGCCGCCACTTGTTTCTGAGCCTTAATCATCCTACCTATTCAGTCACCATTGCTGGAGGGAGAGAGAGAGACTGACAAACAGACAGAGAGAAACAGCAAATCAGAAGAGAGGAGAAATCACTGGAACTTCAGCGCAATCCTGTTCCTCTTCTGAAAACAGCAACAAACGCTTCCTTCTGGTCTCTAATGCCCAGCTCCTGTCTCTGTATTACCTTACTGCTTTATGATTATGATCATTTAATTTCATACCGATCATCATCTGCCATTGTTTTTATTATTATTAGCATCATTATTATTATTGTATCATCATGACGATTGCTATATCTGTCAGAAAATACAATATTTGTATCATTTATGCTGATCATTGCATATATAAGGGGTTCTTATATTATTATTATTATTCCTTTATAATTTTTTCGTATATGTTCAGTTATTTTTAGCATATGTGGACATGTATTTTCACATGACCCAGGTTACTAATACTTTAAGAGGTGTACTCAGAGCTGCTGATGATTTCTTACTTTTTATCATTATTGTATTTTAATGATCTACTTTTATTTGGTGGGGAAAGGGGATCTTTTATAAAATATACAATTAAAAACAACCTTTTCACCTCCTGATACTTTATAAAACAGCATAATCAAGTATAAAAGAGTTGAAATGCTTACAGCCGAGTTAGTGACCTTAATGAACCTGCCGGCATTAAGGACAACTGAATAGACCAATGAAAGGAGAGAACGCAGTCAGAGCCGTTTTGCTCTGAATAGCATTAAACAGACACTTTCTGGAAACCGTCCATTCTCGAGTGAAAGAAAGACAAGAAAAATGGTGTTCCTGCTGCCACGGCAAAGTTATTATCCCATGCCGGGTCAGCTGAGGTCAAAGGTCAGCTCGTGCTGAACGGCCAGGCCTTGACCCGACAGACCTGCACACACATGTACAGCCGTCACGTACCTCCAGTAGAACCACGGCCATCCGTCAATCGCTCAGACTAGCAGCTGAAGTGGGAAAAACTGCAGGAGAAAACAGACGGCTGAGGCTGGGAGTACAAAACCTCCTGAAATCTCCACATGTGGTATTAACGGCCATCCGATCATTTCTCACTGTGGCTCGTAAAGACAAATCTCCCGTAATGTCGCGACAGCATCATCAGACTGAAAATATGTGCATACTCAAGTGTTTCTTTCCTCCTATGGCCTGAGCACAAAGTAAGATGAAAAATGCGGACACGGGAAGAATTCATTTCACTTTGTGTTCGCATAGAGACAAAACGGCATTCAATCTGTTGTACAGGCGGTCTGTTTTCTATTTGTTAATAAAAAGGAGAGAAATATGTGTTAATAAAATGCTTCATTGGGTTTTGTACATGTTTATTGTGGGGCTTTCGCTGCTGTATCTCGGTTCCTTCAGCACTTGTTCCCGGGAACAGATGGCTGGTCCCTCTCCAGTGTGTTTGTGTGCTTGCCAGAAATCCAGAGCTCTGCAGCCAAGGCTAGTCAGCCCACCGGCCATTGCGGTTTAATGTGAAGGCATGTGGACTGGATTCTCCCTGCTCTACATGATTCATTAGTTTGGGAACACCTGGAGACATTAGTCTTCCTCCAAAATCTCAGCGACCGGACAGGAAAGTTTACTAATTCTATTGGAAGCTAATTATCTCACTAATTAGGCGCAAATTGTCCCTTTGGTCTAAGGTCAGAGATGTTGTTTCCCGTTGTAGATTAACAATTAACAAATAATTAAGCCTAAGTACCAGTTTGTAGACGATGATCAATGTCTTTGTTTATTTCTGGAGATACACAGATCATTTAGTTGCACATTTTTTAACAGGTGGTCTGAAAACCAACAATTTGTCCAAACGTTAAAATAAAAAACAGACCATAGACATTTTACATTTATTTTAGATATTGAAGATGCAAAAATGTAGTAAATTGCAGAGGTGTTACTGCATTTTTTTAATACACACGTAACATGATTTATTGAATTTATACATTTGCATCAGTATGGCTCTACTGTATGTGAAGAGTGAGTTTTAGAAATAATGTCTATTATCCAAATAATCTACATATTCATCTTGCCAGTAAATGGCTCTATGATGATCTATGGAATGGGATACACAAATACAAATAAGTCTATAGTTATATATTTGTACAATATATCATCTAAATGGAGGCATGTGGATTTAATGTGGCGTCAGATGAGATGTAGCTTACATGGATTACAATTATATATCTATATACAAATAATCTATTTAACATTCATATACTGTATACTCATACATATGGCTCTATGTGATATTTGAAGCATAAGTATGTTCAGAGTGACTATATATCAAAGTCACTTTAAGGCTTTAAGTCTTTGTTATATATATATATATATATATATATATATATATATATATATGAGTTAAAATTTGATGTATAAAATACTTATAAACACTACAGGCCAGTAGGTGCATCATGTCATCTATGCAATTTAAGTATTTTGAATATGAGATGCATGGAAAGGGGCCCATTAGGATGCATAGTAATATATACAAATGATCTACATTATCTATAATCAATATCTATAAGGTTTTCTATGTGCTATAAAGAGACATCATACGACTTAAATGGAGTGTGTTGTACATTAATCCATTGTATTTGTTCTATGTAAATATGGCCCCGTGATCCATATTATTTATTGATTGATTTATACAAATATCCATAGGCTTTATAATCTGTATGATTCTGCATCTATATCATTGTTAATTTTACAAATGATCTATTAAATGTCAAGGCTTTATATGTTTGATATGACATGTGGAGCGTGTGTAGATCGTATGAGCTCGATTGGAGATATGATTATATATATATATATATCTAAAAATCCACATTCTTTGGCCCCATAACGATCATATGGAGAGAATTGTCCATATGTACATGGCCCCATAAGGTTCGTGTGTGCTGAGTTGATTAGGAGGCGCGCGCAGGGGAACGCCTTCTTCCCTCTCTGTAAACAGAGTGTGCGCATGCGCAGTCGCGCCGCACTCTAATGGAGGACATGTATGATCGGTAATCGTCTTTTTCTGCGCCGTTTGTCTGAGTTGCGCCCTCAACACCCGTCAGCTGAGCCCGCGACACCCGTGAGTTAACTCCTCTCGAGCTCTGCTGACACATATGATCGGGTTTTATGCGTGTCGAGTGATTTCATGTGTGTTTAGTGAGTGGATGTCGGTGTTTACAGTAGTTAGTTAGCCGCCATGCTCGTCAAAGTTTGGAGCGGATCGATAATTCATGTAATAACACGGTTATATACTACAAAAAGCCGTGAATTAGACTGTGGGAATGGATATGAGCGCGTGTGTGTGTGTTGTGCTGAAGCGGTGTGTGTGACAGGAGTAAGTTTGTGTTCATTTGAGCGGCTTTAGCCGTGTGTGTGTGTGTGTGTGTGTGTGTGTGTGTGTGTGTGTGTGTGTGTGTGTGTGTGTGTGTTTTTTTTTGTGGGT